TAGAGGGAGAGAGATCATATTTGTTTAATAGTGATACCGGTAATTTGTGTATAATATACCGTAAGCAAATACTCGGTAAATCTGTGCTAATGCTAATTGGTCAATATCGCAACTCTCCCTCAATAAATATCACAAGGTGCCAATCAACAAAATTATATTTCATTTATTAAAAACAAACTCTGTTATTATCTAAAGTATACTCTGTGAATGTCTATAATACAAATACAAACATTTCAAACCTTCTGAATTATACCAATTACACCATACTGCATAAACATGCAATGTAACTAGAGAACAAACACCACAAATACACTTCTAAAAATGTGCACTATATTATAATGTATAAAACTATGTGAGAATTAAATTTCGATAATTATTTCTCACGTAAGCTTTCACTTCAAATTTTTACTTCATTTTAACTTATATATACATTAGTTCCATTTTCAGCATAATTCCATACGTAGGCCTAAGTCTAAGTTAAACTGTTGTAACTATCGGTGTACACTCTTTGGGAAATAAACAGTCCTGTAGTGTCCTGTTTGTGTGTTTTTTTTTAAATTACTATGTACAGAGAAAAAATTTTTTTTAAAAAAAAACATCATTTTAGCTCCTAGAATCCACAGATAAAAAGTTGCAAGAGCCATTTCATAACATACCGTTTTCTTTTAATGTCTGAATGTGTGATGAACTTTGCAAAACTACAGTGTATTTTATGTATGTTGCGTACACCGTACTTTATGTGAATAGATTTATTTAGAAATCCAATATGAACAGGCCACCTAAATTTAATTTGTAAACTTTGTAAAATTCTCTACCACAATCTTAGTATTCTAGGTGTCTGTAAAAGCCACTGTTGACGTAATTAGTAACAACAGTACTTTACAAGGCCCTGAGACACCAGATAAGACGTCTCTATACACCAAAATTATTATTATTTTTATTAATTATTAAAGAGTAACATTTTTACAGCGTCTTAATATTAAAATCAGAAAAAAAACATTGGGTGTAAGTGCTAACCCCTATACATACAACTGTTATAACATAATAATCTTTATTTTATTGGATCCAATTACACTACAAATCATAATTTGACATTTGTTTTATTTAACCAATATGGGTAGGAGCATAAAGATTGCCAACAGAGTTGTAACAATCGTTGCCATACTGGATATCTTTGTTCTCGCTCTTATTTTTCTTCCTATGATGACATACTTGAATAAAAAGAAAGTAAATTCATATTTGTTAGTAGAATTTTGAAAGAAGTGAATTATGTAAATCGTCCCGTTGTCCTCATTTCGTCATAGTCATTAGTATCAATATTATTATTAGCCCTATTATTCTTGATGTTTTTGTGTCAGGAGATTTAATAGAAATGATGTTTTGCCCAAAACTTTTAGCAGGTAGGAAAAACTTCATTCATCTCCGTCGTCAGCGTCATCATCGTCATCACTACCATTGTCGTTGTCGTTATCATTATTATTATCGTTATTATGGTCATTATTATTATTATGAATATCGTCAGCGACATCGTCTTCATCATCATGTATCGATATTATTATTATTACTCTTATTATTATTATTATTATTATTATTATTATTTATTAACTTACCAATAACACCAATGACTGATATCAAAATGGCAAATCCACCGAGACCACCCCCAATGGCGTATACCAAAATTTTACCATTCTTCAAAAGGAAATAGAAGTGTAATGTTTTCAATTCATATTAAATCATTGTAAAATATGTGTTTATTTCATTAGAAATATGTTTCAAGAGTGTAAGCTACAAACTATGAACTTACTCAATAATGAATTTACTCAATATCTTACATGAAAATGAAAGAAAAGTAGGAAAATAGAAGGAAAAGGTATAACAATTGTACAGTATGGCGTATGTGCATGGTTTTAAAATAATTATAAAATATTTAAAAAAATATAAATATTTAAATTTCTATATTGAAAATAATTTATGAAATACAACTTAAAGTATTTATCCTCCAATATAAGAATGAGTAACAAATAGTAAATTATTCAATGGATATAAGTATAGCAGCATTATACCAGGGGACAGTTAAATTACCTGTTCCCTGATTATACTGAATAATATAAATCTAAGCCAAGCAAATATCACTATTAAACTTTAAAACGATTGCCAGCTAACATGTCCATTTTAAGACCACAGCCCTATTATATCAAAATATTTAAATTTACCAATTGATAAGCATCAGTTTCAAAAAGCCATGGAGTACTGATTCCATTCGATACTGACGTCACTATTCCACTTGGTGAGACTTCTTCATCTTTATCTAAAAAATAAATATAATACCCTATGATAATGATGATGTGCTAGATCGCATAATCTCGTACTTAATCTTTATCATAATATAATAATTTATTGAATCTAAAGATGTTTTTCATGGCATATTGTTAATCAGTGACAAATTAGGTATTTTTACAATAAGCATTGCAGCTTGCATTAATCAAAGTATGTGGTACAGCAGTCCAGTATCTAGATATTGTGATGGGTACATATATACCGGTACACACCCATTCCAAATCGAAAAAGGCTCACACTTTAAGACAGTCGAGAATATAAAATGTGTTATTGTCTGCAATAAACAGTAAAAGGGAATCTTAAATATTTAAATTTTAACTGGCAATCTATGGTTAGTCCTATATGTGGACATTAAAGTTGTTATAGTGTTGAAAATAGAAGTTGCGACCTAACTAGTTCTATCTGTTGAACCCAGCCGGTTTGTTTTTGGACATCCTGCAAAAATTATCCCCAAATCGGTCATATTGTTTGTATCATAGGCCAAACAATTTGAGTAATATTTACTATGTACATTTACTTCTTCTTTGCAAGAAAAGCACAAATCTACAAAATTTACAAAAGAAAAAAATATACCAGACATGAGAGCCAATGCTTGAGAATTGAATCCAAAAATTAATCTTGTGCCATCTAATTTAGATCTAATTAACACGCAAATTAATCCTTTAATTAGCCCGTTTCCCTCAAACTTTTTGAATGATTGTATGTTTTATTAATGTATTATCGATTGCCTCTCTAACGTCAGTTACCCTTGGGTGCGCAGACATTAAAATTCCCCTGAAGCGGCTTATTTCAATAAAAAGAAAATGAATGAGCAGGAGAGACAAACATAAACGGCAGGAGAATACAAGCTCATAAAAAAACTGTATTTGCTTTTGACTGTCTTTTCGAACTGGTACTGGGAAGGAAATTAGTTTGGTTCTAAAAAGGGGCTTCTGTTTCCAATAACCGGTGAAAATATTTTTGGGGAATTCATTTCTAAAATATTCTGAAATTGATTTATATTTTTTAAACTAATAATTATGTTAAATATTCTGATCATAATCACATACGCGAAAACAGAAGGCAACGTCTTGATCCAGGCTCTGTAGCAAGCTCACTATTGCAGACAAGACATTCTGCCTGTCCTTCCTCTGGTTGATAAAATCCACTGGGGCAATGCTCGCACGTTGCAGGCAGTTTATCGTTTCCTCGGTATGATCCCGGAGGACAATGCACTGGCAAAACAAACGAAATAAATTATACCTATGTAGAAATGTTTATTCAATGTTTTTATTTTGTACATAAGCCTAGTTAGTTTTATGTCACTGAGTAATGTGTTGAAAGAAATTCATGGAAAATTCACTAATAAAGAATTAAATAAAATGCTGCCATTCTGTTAGCGTTTGTAAAAATGTTTCATTATTTTTTTTTAGACATGAATTCATTGTAATATTGTAATTATAAAACAAGTGTATAAATCAAACTTACCGCAAATGTACCCATCCTGGTGTGCGTACTGAGTGTTGGGACATATTGGACCATTGATACCGGCAATGAACCGTGTCACCTCAAATATTTCTCCCCGATGTTCAAATATGTCTCCTGGTGTTAACAAATCATTAAGTTCGGCTACTTTGACCCGGACGCTTTCAATCTTATCTTGCGCCAAATACGCCAATTCCTCCCGACTTGCGTTTACAATATCAATTGGTGTGACATTGGTACTTTTGACGTCAAATGATATCTCAGTCAGAAACGTCTTTCCGGCAGGACTCGATTCCTTATAGTTTAGACGTTCGAGTTCTGGTTCATCAACACTAATGACCTCCGAAAGACCATTTCTTAAAGAGTCATTTTGTAAAGTCGTGTTTGAATCATCTAATCGATAAAGCGTAATCGTAACATCACTGGAGAACTCCGGTATAGATACACCAAGAATATTTAGTCTTGCACGATTTGACATCTGCCTTCCGTGTGCATTCCATGCCTCACATGTATACCATCCTTCTTGTCTAAATGTTGGACTTAATATCTCGATACCAGAAGCATTCTCACCTGAGATCGCCTCCATGGTTGATGTTGACAAGGCCTGAAAGTACCACTGGTAGTTTGGTAATGGAAGGGCGGAAGCTTGACAAGTGAAATATATACCTTCAGGATTTCCTTGTTCGATGTCAGCGTCTTGTGGATGTTTGATAATCGATGGTGGAAATTCCACAGTTAGCTGGCATTGTTCAGACTGAACTGACGTCACTTCGTTGCTGGCATGGCAAGTGTACGTACCTGAATCAGTGGCGTTCACTTGCTTCAGTAGAAGCGAATGTGTATAGATACCACTCAGCGTTTCACCGTTAAACGTCCAACTGAATGTCGGCGATGGGTTTCCGGATGCCTGACACGTTATAGTGACGTCATTTCCTTCAACCGTCACAACTTTAGCTTCTGGATGTTTAGTAACTGTCGGCTTTCTTAAACAAATGTCATTAGTATTTTTAAGAAAATGAATCTGATTGAGTATATTATTTGCTCCTGTTACAGCTTCATTGACATTCAACGTAGTTTTATCTAACATTCTTGATATATCGTCATCAAGAATTATAACCTTTTCGTATATTTGGCGATCTTCCGACAAATATTTCAATCCAATCAATTCAGTTGTCAAACAATCATGGAATCCCTCACAGTCATTCATACCACTGAAATTGCGTGTGTAGGTTTCCATTACGACTTCCCATCTTGATAAGACATCGTCAACCTCTAGCAACAATTTCGTGTTGTTGGCTTTCATTTTTGCTGAATCTATAACCTTTGTCAAAGCATTTTGCTCAAGACCGTCAACTAAACTGCTGTTTAGATACTGTATATCGTCAGTAGTCAAGTTGAAAAACTGAAAAGCAGCACTAGCATTTGCAGTTTCCGAGGATGTTGATAAATTATATATGTATTCACTGTGAAAGTTGTCTACATTTTCTAAACCTGGCACATTTGCCGCTACTTTGCTAAAGTTTGCAATCTCTAGCAGCATTTGGAAAGAATGTTCTACGAAACTCAAAGTATCATTAAAGTACTGACATCTTGCCTCATTTTGTACTATTCTCTGATCTCGTAAAATGATACTGCTTATGTTGTAATCTGATATGTTATTTATCACATTATAACTCACAGTATCCATCATTGGTTGTTCAATAATCATATTAGTCTCACGTCGTTTTCGATGATGTACAAGTCCGAAACGGCTTTGACTTGCTTCTCTTCTTCTTCTGACGGACCTTGTTATATCACCGAACAGTACTTCTGTCATAAACAGCGCACCATTTTCGATTGTGTAATCTAAATTGTTGAGGTCAATAACAATTTGAATCTGTACAGGATCGGACGCTAGTGTGAGGTGACACACAACTGGAATTATGGTAGTTTCCTCTCCAACTAAGTCAATGTCAAATTCAAGTTTCTTAAACTCTAAATTTGCTTCAATCGAACCATTTATTTGGAGTTCTTGTATTGCCAAACCTGCTCCAACATTCTTACTGATTTTGTTTAGCGCATTTTGCGTATTATTAAGATGTTCCTGTAACGAAAAGACTCTACTCAACACTTCTTCGTGTTGACCAATGGCGTCTTGGAGTTCGATCAATGCTCCATTCAATGCTGCTTCGGCAAGTGATGCACGTTGGAGAGCATAGTCTAAATCCTCAATTAGTGCTGCAAGGTCAGGAGTTTCTAGTTTCAGGCGGTCAAATAATCGGTTTCGTGTTTGTCGGCATTCTTCATTTCTACGCACACAGTTAGCATCGGGTACCTGCGTACTACACTCAACCTCTTGTGTTTCAGTCTGTACAGTCTGACCTACAATCAGATAATCAACGCAAGTACTACATGATGTGAACATAACCTCAATTTCTACTGGTTTTTTGCAGTTTTCACAACACTCAGATTTTGAATAAGACAGTCGCTGGCCTCTTTTTATTTTCACTGAACTTACAAGTGAGACACCTGCTTTGATCCAATTTTTAGTAAGTGCTGAAATTCCAGCGACCACTAATTTAAATGGGTCAAGACTCAACGAAGTTTTTTTAACAGGTGTTGCAACTACACAACTCGAACAACAACTAGTTGTTTCCTCAATGACTGTTGGTTCAGTCCTGTCGGCACAACATTGATACGGTACATATGCATAAACATCTTTGGTTACAGTAACAATGGTACGTCCAGGCAGACAGACACCACTACAATTATGCACCTTGCACACGGAATTCAATTGGTCTTCTATCTCCTTCGTGTAGTCATGTTGGTCATCCAATGATTCGCGTGTATTCTTGACATTGATATTTGCTGTCAGAAGATCGCTTTCTGCAGAAGCATATTTCTGTTCAGCCCTATCAACATTCGCTTTTTTTAAACGCTTTTCTTCCAAAACCACATCTAATCTTGATTTCACCATTTTAACCGACTTAACGCCTTGTTCTAATCTCTGTTCACTATCTTGAACTAATTTCTGAGATAGTGTGATTATTTTGTCTTTCATAATTCTTCCTAATGAAGATGGACCTTCAACAGCCATGTCACCATTTACATGTAATATCATTGATTCAAAAGAATCCAATTTTGAAGTAACATTTCCTTTCATATTGAAGAATCCCCATAGCTTTCCTGACAAGTTGAAATATGTTCCAGACATTGCCAAGTGCATCATGGTCATTTGTTCAATCCCAAGAAGCTTTGTGAGTACTGGTATATTTCCAATCCAATGATTATCATTAGTTTGCAATGCTAAACTAAGCTTGGCATTGTTAGGTATAGTTATGAATCGATTGAGTGTTTCTTTAGCTGTGTATTTACCACTAACACAAATTTCTGATATACCTGGATCAGTCTGTAGTTCAGTACACTCTTTCCAGCTTGAGTTTGACAAGTAGTTTGATACTTTAACTTCTAACAATGGAAAACAAAGGTAAGGCGACAAGCAGACTTCTGACGTCATACGAAACCCAGATCCTGCTGCGGTTTCGTAAACAAAAATATTCTGAACTTCTGTGAGAACCTGATTACTGATTTCCTCTAACTGTTGTGTTATGTTTTGAAGATTTATTTGGAAATTATTATATTGGTTAATTTGGTTGCTGAAAAGTGTATCATTAAGATAACGAAGTGACTTCAGAATTTCTTTACACTGTATACGAATCTCAGACAAAGAGTTACCAATTGACTTCCTTAAAGAGAGTACTTGGAAATAATTGTTGATTGACCCTTCTAGGTAATTGGTTGTTGATAAAATAGGAGTTACATACATGTCACTGTATCCATATGTCAATAGCTGTTCAGCTAATGTAGATAATTGCTTTGGTATGTCCCGTAGTTTATTGATAATCTGTGTTAGGCCGTTAAGGTCTGATGGAATAGAAAGACTCGGTGTCAAGTCGTAATATACAAACACCTCTGCCGGTGTCCCTACTTTCTGGGGTTTAAGCAGCCATGAAAATGGTGTATCATCAAAAACGCTATGTGAGGTTGAAGACTTCATTACTATTCCACGTGTAGATGAGTATTCACTTGTAGAATAATCTAAGAAACAGAATGATACAATTCACTATTTTCCCCTTATTTTTCCGAATAATTTACAGTATAAAATATTATTTTATCACGCTTTACTGTATATCATATACCAAATGTCATGTATCGTATACCATCATATACCATATATCTGATATATATTTATCATATTCTAACATAACCATTCATAACATAACCTGATTTGACGTTACTTGACGTGAAATGGCATTACTAGGCCTACTTGGTAGGTACTCTTTTCATTATTTATTTTAAGCCTCGTAGAATCTATGTATGAGGTATATAAAACAAATACTGACTACTGCTCTAGATTCCGGGAACGGTAATATCTAGAGTCCCCTACCTCGCCCCCGGGAAGATAGTTTGCTGTGGTCTCCAGATTGCCTTGGGGCAGATTTCACCATTCCCATCACAAGCATTCAATATTTGTATAATATGTCAATGTAATAATCTCATGTAATAATATAGTAATTATTATACACACATATATATATAATAAGTATGCCTACAGTAGATAATAACATATTGATAAGATATAAACATAAGAGGTACGGTACATCATTAAAAATGTAAAAAATAGGCATGAATGTTATTTTATGATTAGGCATGAATAGCAAGTGTTCGAGCAGGTGAATTTTCCATAAACATAGTTTTAAACGTTGATAAATAATGCTGGTATTTATATCTATCTATTAATTTGTTCGCGGCTAATTTGAATTTGCTGTAAATTAAAAAAATTACTCACTACCAAAGCTGGCATTTAATATTGGGTTCTTCACTTTGTTTGATTTGAATTCTAGAGATACGTCCTGTCCAAGAATTTGCCAGGGCAGTCTAATTGTTGAATTGCCAAATTGCTGTATCTGCCAGCGTTGTGTAAACAGGTGACTAAATAGCTGTTATTGAAAATAAAAAACAACTATAACGTTTTTAAATATATTTCAAAAATATGTTTAAATTATTACTTTTGGATAACTGTATATGCTCTGTCTCTTATACACATCTAGATGTGTATAAGAGACAGTATATATATTAATTTTTGCTCAGCTGAAAAAAATTGATCTTTAAAATTTGAAAATTGTACTTTAACATGCAAAAATGCTGTAACATGCGTTTAGTATCAATTCATCTCTACGATTTTTTAAAACTAATGGCAGATGTTTCAGGTATTTTAAAACAAGGAGGCCTAGGTGGCTATACACATTTTTTGCCAAATTTAGGATAAAAATTTATGACAACCTGGCAGCTACCACTGGGGGACTTCCAGAGGCCTAGAAATTTCACTCAACGTAGTTACCAGCGATTATCTGTGCAGTGACCCGTACACGACCTTCTTGTTGAATGAATAGGCCTAGGATAGTCTTTAAAAACAAAATGTCAAAACGAAAAAGAAAAAAAAAACAGAAAATAGGGGAGCATAAAACCTGCGCAGTGTTTTTCGTTGTCGAAATACTCAAAAGAAGATATGTGCCTGGAAGAACGAAATATGCTCAGGCTAGGCCGCTGGAGGTCCCCCAGTGAAAAGTTGCGGGACGATTGTGGCGTTTTTTCAAAATAGATAAAATGGTGTATTTGTTACACAGCCTTAAAATAATTATTCATTATCGTAATATAATTTTAGTGTCCTAATCAAATCCATACACACAATCAGAAGTTGAAGTTCGTTTAAGACTAGTGTGACAATAGCCACTGCATTAAACAAATTTGAGCATACCTGCGTTACATTTTCTAGCGTCACATAAATATCTCCACTACCTTCAAGTTTTGCAGACACTGTTTTGTTAATATTGAAGGTGTACTGAAGATTGGCAAAGAAGCTAATTTTGTTGTCATCGTGGGCTTGACTATATCGACCATTTGGATCGAGCTTGTCAGTTGTTGAGAATCCCAGACCATTCACCTCAACGTCAATAAAATCAACGGGATCCACGTCATTCATGTAAGCTAAAAGATCTCTTGAACCTTCTGGAAACATCATCATCACTGTTCCTGAAGTGACGCTACACACACCCACAAGAAAACAGTATTTCCCTTTGTATGGCGAGAGTGGTAAAGATACATATCTGCCCCCAATATTCAATTCAGCCTTGTAGAGTAAATAGACGGAATACTGACCATCACTGATCACGGGTGCCGATGAGCACCATTCTATTGATTTAACCTCATTTCCATTAAGGATCAACGTTGAAAATGATGTTTTTGAGTTTCCTGGATCTATCTTAACTGATATAAAAGTGATCCAATCAGGCAGAATATTTTCAAGTTCTTGTGTGTATTTGCGATACAATGAACTCAGTTTAACAAAGTCCTGGACACCATCCAAGGTTATACCTTCAATTTGACAATTGGCAAGGACAGTGTCTGTTGTTGTATCAATACTTATGGTTGAGTGTCCGATAAGATTAAGTGGGAGTTCAAATGTGTTTGTTGCTATGGAAACAACACCAAGAGTTTGAGTAGCAGAATTCTTTGTCTTTGTCCACTTCTTTGTTGATGTGAAATTAACATCGACACCCGAACATATAGATTTATCTGAGAGCTCAAAACACCCGGATGGAAATTGATATCTCGGTGTGAAATATTTTCCATAGACATACCCATTGTTAGGTGTATTATTTTGAAACACAAATAGCTCGTCATCGTTTGGAGATGTAAATGCAGCTGCTCCTTTTCCCCTCATAACATACGAAATCTTTGTAAAACCCTGACCAACTCCTCGAATAGAAACTTTTTGGTTCTTCATGTTTGGCGTAAAAAAAAGTTGTGTTGGGTGAACAATTACTCTATCAGGATCCGTCACAATCTTTAATTCGATTGTTTGCTTCGGTTTAGCTGTAAATTCTAAATCATGGTAGACATTGCCTACCCATATCTCAGGCCAAACCGGTGTTGTTACGAAACCGTCCTCGCAATTCCTTCCAGTATAACCTGTTCCAGAGCAGTCACAGAAATATCCGTCAGCCTCATTTTGAGAAAAGCGGCAAACACCATTTACACATGGTGATGGCTTGCACAACTCTATTTCTAAAATGAAAATACAAGATAACTTTATTGTCAAACAATTTAAAATAACCAAAAAAAATGTATTTATGGCATAAATAAATAAAATTACTTTAATAAGGGAATCTAAAATAGTGAACCACACATTCTTAATTAAAATCAACAATAGGTAGAGTTTAAATTCATATTGTATTCGGTATCCTAGAGCTTTTTTTATTTACCAAAATGTAATTGTACTGTATATGCTAATCTGAACCCAAAATTATTTGATCTGTGCATAATGAAAATATTTTATTCCTCACTAATTGACTACCAGAGTGCGCAGTGTATTGTTGATGTCGAATATTATGGAACTATATAGGCCAAGATCTCTTCGATTCTTACCAGTACATACTGGGGCAGAGCTGTTCCAGAGTCCAGATCTTTGACATTGTGTAACAATATCTTCTTCTAAGAAATATCCGAAATCACAACCAAAATTACAACGACTGCCGACTGTGTTCTCACATGGGAAAAAGATGTAACCATTGGGTAGTGACAGCTCAGGACATAGAATCTCTGTAGTATATAAATGTATAAGCCTATATAATTGTATAATGTATAATACATCTTTTTTATGCAACTAAAAAATTAAATTTTTAGACACCATTGATTTTTATAAAATATACACTGAATTTACATATGTTATTAGATAGGGCCTACAAACCTTCACATTGAGTTACTTGACCGTCCCAATCACCGTTTGATAAGCACTTTCGCTTATTGGATCCTAAAAGTCGATAATTCCATGCACACTCAAAGACGCAAGATTCTCCGGTCGTAAAACCAGTGCAGTTTCGTATGCCGTTGTAAGGTACTCCGATAATAACACATGGATTAGCTGTCACAATATAAACATGTATAATATAGCCTTATTAGGCACTCATCAAATTGGTTTGGTTATACAATAGTATAATAAACCATCATTCCTAACTATGGTTAGTTTATTTTAAATTGGTTTATAACACATCGGTGATTTATCTATATATTGTTAATTGTTTCTATTCCAATGTAATATATTTCACTTATAAATCTAAATAGGGAATATTATTTGCCATAAAAAAAAAAAAAATTTCTTGTTAAATATTTAGAAGAATAACACTATCGTAAATTTTCTATTTTATTGTGGTGATAGGTTTGAAAATTCAAATTATTTGCCAAAACATTGTGAAAATACATTGACATATATCCTGTAATTACAAACATAAAATAAATATAGGCCTAATTATGCTAATAAGAGAGATACAATAATTCAAATAAGGGTTTATTATATATATATATATATATATATATATATAGATGTGTATACATTGCAGCTTTTTCCATCAGAGTTTAGTGTCCAGCCGTCGTGGCAATCACAAATGAAGCTGCCGATAGTGTTGGAACAATTTTGGCTACATCCACCTATACCAGTAGCACACTCATCAACATCTAATTAATAGAAAATATTAAAACATGTGAGTTAGATAATAAGCACCGTGATTTAGTATATCAATGACATATATCACCAGACTTGCTTTGTCTGTTTGGAAAACAGAACATAGAGCTTTTCCTCTGCCGTAATGAGAGCTACTGATATTAAAAAGTATGAAATATATTTAAAAATTATGAAGTAAAAAATACATTTAAAAAATTGAGAATTATGAGCATTATGACGACGACGAAGGCGACGATGACGACAATTGTTATGATAATAATGTAGAAGAAATAGGCAGATCATTAATTATAAATATAATATTCATACCTTCACAGTTATATAAATCAAATACTTGATACCCTTCTTTGCAAATACACTCAAAGCTGCCGGGTGAATTGGTACAATTGTGACAACTGGCGAAAGTGCATTCATCGATATCTGAAGGTAAGCACATGTAAATGACTTCGATGTGTAGAAAATATAGTGGTTTTGTATTATAAGTCACGTATTGAGTGCCCCTAAATATTATGCATTTATCAAATCTACTAACAACAAGATGTCCTACTGGGGGTGGGGCTAAGTATTTATAGGTATAGGTATAACTATAGCAAGCAGCGTTATCTGCAGGCCGAAGGCCCGAGCCAAGGCTGGGTATGGGAGTGGTGTCCCCTCCTCCCAAAACGAGATTTTATAAAAATTGGGACTTCTAGATGGCTGGGATTAGAAAACTAGGCCTGTTTTTCTGTTTTTTGGTCCGATTGCCCGACGAGATTTGACCGATGAGGGGGCTTGACACCCCCACCCGCCTCCAAAATGATGCCTGACGTTATTCAAAAGTATCATCGGTCAATTTCATGAGCCAACAGTTTCATGAGCCCAACAAATAATCAGTTTTACATATGGTAATAACTGTTCTTTTTCTTGGTGTTATTGACTTGCATATTGCACTAATATTGCCAAGTGATATGACAATATATATCTTGAGTAGAAAAGATATTGATGGCTAATAGCTTTGAAAAAAAAAGACGAAATAACATGACATTTTTATTTATTAAGTTTAACGATTTTAAATTGTGACATAATGTATTAAGTATTATAAGATTACGTCCCCTATTATTCTAAGGTATATTATTTTTAATGAAACTTCTCTACAAAAAATATAATAAATATTGCGATGATTAGTGCAAGTATTAGTATGCTTAATTTATTTTTACCGGTACAGTTAGTTGTTCCAGTATAGCCATCGGAGCACGAGCAGCTGAATGATCCAGGATAGTTGTTACAGACCTGTTCACATCCCCCGTTGTTTACTAAGCATTCATTAATATCTAGAACATTAAAAGAACAACAATATTATTAGAAATTAATTGTTGGTGTACTTTCACCAAAATGTAGACATAGAATAGCGTAAATGACAAATCATACAGGAGTTTTCTGCTGCAACAACTAGTAGTGGATAAAGGATCATATTCTCACAAGCCATGGTCACACAGCAATTAATATGTATAATTTAAAAGTACAGAATTAATTAATCATAAGAAACCTTAAACTAAAGATTCCCACTTAAATTATAATAATATAAGAAGACATCGGTATATTAGACATCATAGCTTATTTTTCAAAACATATTTGTCTTGCCTTAAACGATGACATCACTGTCAAAGATATTGTGTGTAATTTCTTTTCCTCTCATATTGTAAAAATTCTTTAAAAAAGTTATTTACTTTTATTCAACAACATAATAAACACACACCCACACCCCTACACACGCCCCCACACAAAATTACATTTAAAAATTTTACACAAGAAAATATAAAACGAAATTTTTTTTTACATAAACACAAATTAAAACGACATTAAAAAAAGACATGAACTCACGCTCAACAACAAGTACAACACCAAAAGTAAGTCTTGCCAAGAATACTTAGGAACCATGAAATTCTTATTCCAAAAATCTATTAGCTTTCTTTATGATAACTATATGATCGACAAGGTCGATTGCCTTTGTGAAATTAACGGTGCAGGTATCCAAGGTACGACCATGTTCAATGTCACTAATGACAGGATGTAAAATACTTACATTTTTATAAGTTACTTTTTCCATATCTACATTACCTTTTTCGCATCTGTCACCATTATATCCTTCGGGACAGTCACATATGCTGGGGGACGAGCACTGACCATTGTTCTCACATGGCGGGTCGCAATTGGCTAAAATAAAATTGCAATAACTTAAAAATGGAATTCATAAATTTATATATGAGAGATACAAAATAATCTATCGCGCACGTACTAACTGACTCGAGTAAAAGGACTACACAAAACTACCAATCATAAAGAAATGTAATAGAAATGAATTTCCGTAAGTGTTTGTAACGTCTAAAAATCAATTAATTAAAGTGGTGTGTGGAGTTTCCGTGATTATTTTTGTTTTCAACTGTTTACTTTAATGATACTTACGTAGACATTCGGTAAGCGTCGACAGTACATATCCAGAAAGGCATTCGCATCGAAATCCACCGTGAAAATTAGTGCATATGTGGGCACATCCACCATTGTCCTGCAGACATTCATTTACTAGGAAGCAAATTAATAGCACAAGCTTTTTAACAAACAAACATTCAAAAATCGATAGATAGTATCATACATAGTCGGACAGTTATTATCACATAAAGAAAAGAAAAGAAGACAAAATAACAGATGCGCTAATTTAATATTTAAAAAGGCCTGAAATGATGTATTTCTTTTATGGACAATTATATTAATTAAACATGACAAATATCTTTATAACACCAGATAAGTGCATCAAAGTAGGCAATAAGATATGTTTGGTAAGACATACTTAATGCATAATATACTTAAGCGTCAGTTAAATCACACTTATATAACACTAAATTCAAGCTGACTTGTAGGCATAAAATTTGGCGATACCTTTTTACGTAGGCCCATGTAAGAAGCACTCTTCTTTTCAAAAATGAGTCAAAGTTTAGTCAATTACAAGAAAAAATAAGACCTATCGTACATTGAATGCACACCCCTAAACACCATACTCACATAATAAAGTTAAATCATTAAATGTATATTATTTTGATCACCAATTAAACTTACAATCAGGGCAGCGGTCGCCAACATAATCTCCCTCACATTCACAGTAATTTGGTGCCGTACATTCTCCGTGGATACATGGTGGCTGACAAACAGCTAAAATAGAATAATAATGTATTACTATCTGAAATGATCAGTTACATAGTTTCATAACTTCTACTAGAGATAATATTGATAATAATGGACATTTATATAGCGCCTTTTCCTTACGGTTGCAAAGAGAGTGTATCAAGCACATAAACCTCTGGAACAAGAAGACTGCAGTTCAGTGGCTAATTACTAATACGCATTTTGCATATTTATTTTTAAAATAATTTCAATCACTAACAATAATAATAATAATAATAATAATAATAACAGTAATAAAACAAATGGCTAAATGAGCATACACAATCACCCGGGGTCACCATACGTCTTCGCTCTGGTGCGATCACTGACCCCAAAACATATATAACACCGAAAAATATAAGTATTGAAAATGCTAGTTGTAGTAGTGATAAGGATCAAGTTGGCAATGATAGTAATAGTGATGGTAATAAAAGGGTCCGATGGTGATAATCTGCAAACAAATACAAAAAATTAACTACAAGGAAGATGAGGAAAACGGTGAAGAATAATAAACAAGGAGCTTCATATTAAACAATGAAAAGAGCAAAAAAGAAAAAAAAATGAGAAGGAATAAAATTCTGGACAAGAAAGAAATTAAAGAAACAGTCTCAAGTTTAGGCAGCAGGCATATTTCCATCTCTTGTGCAAACACATAATGCTACGCCATAAAGCTATTTTTTTTTCTCAGATGACAGCATAAGAATTTTTTTTTTTGAGAGTAGGAAGAAGAATTGCAGAAATGTTAACATGTATTTCTGTGTTCTTTCCGTACCTTCACACTGCCCACCAACCTCATCATACCCCATATAACACTGGCAATAGTAACTTCCTTCCGTATTGACACAGAGATGTTGGCATCCACCGTTGTTTTCATTACATTCATTAATGTCTACAGAATAAGAATGGCAAACATGTGTTGTATATCTTATTATATGGGAGTGGAGCTGTAGCATAGTGGTTAGTTGATGCTTGTCTTCCAACTTTGTTACCTTAACATGATTTTTTATGACCAACAAACGCCATTCTTGAAAGACTCCTAAAGAGACTTGAGTTTTATGAGCATCCTGTGTGTATGTTTGTCTTGTGAAGACACACACAGTTCGTTTTGGCGTATCTTTGACATTGAGCATAAACATAAATTAAGATAAACATAGAAGAAGGAAGAATCAGTAACATCACGACATGCGAACATATGCGACTGTGCGTTTTTGCTATGTAGAAAAAAATAACCTACCACTACACCGTAGTCCACTAAAGCCAGAGCGGCACGAACAGCGGTCCGGGGATACACAGGTTCCGCCAACACCACATTGCGGTGAACATATGGCTAATAAAATTAAATCATATAATTAACGGCGTTATTAACAATATAGTATTAACATTTCTTTTTTTCTGAAAAATGCAATCGGTAAAGGGGTTACTGTATATTAGAGGCTATGGAAGTTATCGGTGAAAAACGACGGTAAAAGTAATTATTTTTCCTTCAATTAATATAAAATATAAATTAATATTCAATCGTGTTTGCGAAATTGTGACAAATTACTCTTTGATAGAGTAATAACCCCGAGCCGTATTTTGTAACATTACAGTTTGTTTTTATTTCTACTACAATTATTAATTGTTATAAATTTCGAACAGAATTAATCTCAGCAGTTTTCAAGCAGATCCCAAATTACAACGTTGCACTTGGAAAAGCTCAACGTTTTTGAAACTGTTGATCCGGTCATAGTGACGTCACACCCACGAATCAACCACATAACTAGGAATAATCTGAAGTCCAAAAACTTTTGTATTTAGTGCCGTATATCGTATATTGTTTCTAATTGTCTAATACTGCAAAACAACTGACTGAGACAAATCTAGCGAATGAGGAAGTAAACACATGCAGCTAACTAAAAAACTACTGCTCCTGTGAAAACGACGGTAAAATTATATTTTTTCCTTTAACCCAGTAAATTGAATTAATACGAACATCTTTATTGCAATAATCATTATTAGCATATAAATAAAATTATAATTGTATAATTTATAGAAAATAAATAGAATGCCATGTAACCACAACAACACACAACCTATGCGAATATTTTAAATTTGCAGAAAAAGTCTGATTTTCTATTGAAAATCAAATAGATTTTATTTTAATGTATAGGCCTACATAAATTTGTATATACATTAGATTCAATAGTGTCTGCGAAAATGTAATAATCATGTCGTTGCAGTAACCCGAAACGTAATTGGAACTATTAAAATTTGTTTTGAATTTCATTACAATGTGTTGTGAATTTTTGGACAGAATTAATGTCAGCGGGTAAAGCAGTTATACATTTTATAATCTATGTTGTTAAGAGTTTTTAAGACCGGTAGGCTTCGAATCCCTGACGTATATTGAGTGCATCGGTTTTGTACTTTGTCCGATGCTTTGAAATTATTATTATATTATAATTAGGCTATAATATCATGTGACCTTAGATCCGTAATGATAT